AATTACAATTTTAGCTGAACGTGATGGCGATCGAGAATTTCCCTATCTGAGATAATATATAATGATGTGATTTATATTATAATGATTTAACTTTACTTTTGATTGTTAAATTTATTGTATTAAATATTATACGAGCAAATAGATGATTGGTCTTAGCTGCTAAATAATGTTTGGAAAAATTGCAGTTAAACATGTTAAACTTCTGATTAAAAAGCATTTAATTAAATTCGAGTTCCTATTTTAGGAGCATAATACCTATAGCGACTTAGTCAGCAGCTTTAAAAAATAACACAGAAGTTGCAGCTAACCTAAAAATTCCAAAAGAATATATGTTCTTCGTATTTGCAAAAGAAGAAAAAACGGCATATTATTAATCTGAAGAGAAATTATAGTACGGTTTCTGCATCCCGTTAATTTCATGCTTAATTTAATAATTATCACAATCGAGGTAGTCATTTGTTATTGTAATAGCATGATTTAAATATTAACGCGAGCCATTCAGCGTTCACTCTCACAAATTCGTCTGTTTGAGATGTTTCTATGATAATAGAAAACGCTAATTTCAAGCTTGCTCAGTCCTGAAAGCACGAAGCACATTTCCATCCATACGCTTACCGCTTTTTTTTGTCATGACCATCACGGTGATATTTGCCAAACTCCCATACCTCAGTCAGGAAATAGTATACACTTCCGATCGCATTTCGCTGTATAATAGTTTGAGTCATGTCGATATATCTCAATATCTTCACGCGTCGTAAGAGTTTTTAATGGTCAAGTGGTGCCAATTTTTTAAACAATGGGTACTATAGTGGGTTATCATTAAATTTTGTAGGTTTGTTTGTTACTCTTTTGGACTAAAAGATACTGATTTTAACTGATGTTATTGAGGTATGGGGTTGCATTATTGTCAATCTTTTTATGTATGTTGTAATGTCTGATTCACATGATGAATCTGAGAATTTGAGAAAAGTTACATATTATATAAACGCTTTCATCGTAGTGAAATATTGAAAGAAATCAGCAATAAATGCAAATGCGCGGATATAAACCATGTGTAAACTTAGTGTGGATAAAAGTAATACATATGTTAGTACAGACCTGTGTACGAAGGCTTTTATTTTGTTTCCTACAAGCCAATGAGTTTCAGTTCTATGTACAGCGTAGTACTAACTTTAATTGAAGCGCGTTGGTAAAGCGATTCGGAAAAATAGTCGTTGAAAACGTAGTTTAACTGACAAAGACTGTTGTGGTTGTTGTTGTGGAATTGGTTGGTTGTTTGTGGAATAAACGTAGCGTTATCGAGATGTTGCATCAATGTTAAAGCATAGTGAAATTTACTGCTTGAATTGAACTTTTGGGCGTTTGCTGGTATGCCTTAGTGCAGGGGTTCTCAAACTTTTGGTGTTGCGGAGCCCTTGAGAGGTTGACTATTATTCACGGAGCCCCAAAATAAATGTTAAAATTGTTACTTTCAGATTAATATTCCTGAGCAAGTTAAAAATACTTCACTTAATTTAAATGCTGAACCTTAGGGTTAATACAAGTCATACATAAATCTAAATTTTAAACATAAATTATATATATATATAAGAGCTGTGAATCTGACACTTGACAAACATATTAATAAATTAGGGGTCGAATCTTTTCCTTTTTGACATTTTTGGAAGACTTAAAGGGCCGCTAATAACGAGCGCAATTGCATTTTGTTACAATCGCCGATTTTTTTCGTCAGCATGGAGTGTCTTTGAACCTTTTAACATCTTTACGCCGGTGTTTATTCTCCCTAAATCAAAAATTTCCCTCGGCATATATATATACAAGTATTGTTACACAATGACGACGTTATTTGCTTTTTTGTTATCGTGGGGAATTATGAGTTCAATGTCAAAAACATGTTACCATATTATAATCATCGGTGACAAAATGCTGAAAATAATAATTAATAAAGAGGTAAATCCGCAACTCAAATTTCTTGAATGAAAAGCGGCATTCTGAAATATCAAAACTGAAACTTAAAATGGAAGATCACACGTTTGGTTTCAGCAGACTCACCTCGAATTGAAAACGTTTTTCTAGACATTGTAAATCACAAAATTTGGTGTTATGTTAGGTCTTCATCGTAGGAACTGCGAATTCGAAATACAGTCAATTGTCACGCGATGTACCTTTTTGCCCATTATGAAACTACCGACGGAGCCGCACGCAACGAATTGTGCGTTTTCTAAGAAAGCGAAACTAAAACGAGCAGATGCACATCGTTATTTAACCATGGGTAATCTGTTGTGTTACTTTTAAATTTTATATGTTTGTTTCGCATTTCGGACATACTAATTTTAACTGATGAATGATTAATGAGGTATAGCATAATACGAAAGCGGTCCAGTTATTTTCAATCTTTTTATATGTCGTCACGCTAATAACCGAATTGCGTAAGTCATTTTTGGCGATTTTAGGTTTTTTCATAAAATAGGTATTTATGTATTGCTGCGCACCTGTCTGTTAACTCAGATTTTATTGTAAGAATTCCGAAACCCATAAAAATGAAGATTTAGTATGACATGCAGATTTGTGCAACTGTTTCGTCATAATGAATTATCATTGTTACCGTAGGACTATTGTGACGTCAGAAAGGCAAAATATCTTGGCGAAGTATTTTCAAGTTTTTGCATCTCGGATTCTAGCTTAGCGCGTATTAATTTGAATTTATACTACAGTATAGGAAGACGTGCACCTGTGATATTCACTGTCCGAGTGCAATTCCCCTTGGTTGGCTTTTATATTGGGTGCATTGATGTTTTATTCTTTTAATTTAATCTTAGTCTTATTTCGGTGGGTGTGCAGAACGTCTTATATTGATGAAATATATATTTTTAAACATAAAAAATAATGTAATTGAAACTGATTAGCTTTTTTTGGGGATTAGACATTGTAGATACTGAGAATTACATTCGTTTTTGGAATGTTTTTTTCTTCGGGACTGGTGCATATGATATAGTAAAGTTGCAAAATTGCGTATGTCCCCAAGTCATAGACACATTTCTGCCTAAGTCACAGTGCGCCATTATGACGTCACTAAACTGCGTCATACAAATTAACTTAAATTCGGCTACGATCAAAAAAATTGAACCATGGCAATTTATTGACTTTCAATGGCATAACAATATCATTAGGAAGTTTTTAACGTTTTTCTCAAAACTGCTAAAAATGACTTACGCAATTCGGTTATTAGCGTGACGATGTGTTGTCATCTGAGAAAAAAAGGATGTGTATCTTAACGCTTCCGTCGTGGTGATATATAGGAAGGAATATAAGCATAAGTGTAGCGGATGTAAACCTATTCTGAGCATTGGAACTTAAACTTAGTATGTGCATGTAAGTAGGCCATAGTATTATCTCTCATTTTTTTGTTTTATTTATCATCAATGTTAGTTAGTTACTCCTCTGTGAACAAAGGCTCGCGGAATTTTGTGTTTTATGTAAAAAGCTCAGAATTCATTTTTATTGCCGGAGATTTTCATAACCGGGGAAAACAAAATGGTAAGTTCTGTGTTATATTATAATGAATTCACAAATTGTCTTTATACGGGGTTGCAGGTTTATGGTAAAGAAATCGACACTTATTTATTCAATAATTTATTCAATTATCTTTTTATAAGATTTTAATATATAGGACGTTTCAAAATAAATGAAACCAACAAAATTAGTAATCGAATTAATGGGTTTCATTTATTTTGGAACTCCCTGTATTAGGTAGTAAACTCGAACGATTTAGTTCGTATCTTATTAGATCTCCGTCTGTTGTAAATATATTATTGTGGGGTTTCCAAACAAACTATCAGGTCCAAACTGTATTATATTGGATCATTCCCAAAATTAATTGATTTATATATATAGTATGACCGACATTTTCTACATTTTTACTTTTAATGGTGTCTACCCCGTACCGGATCATGCATTTTAGATGCACTGAGCACTTGAACTTTGGTTGGTGACCTATATTTAAAATTATTGAAAATGAAACTGTTGTTCTATGTTAATGAAATTGAATATGTAAGTTTTTCTGTAATCATTTCTAATTGAAGGCTAAGCTAAATATAGTTTTTTTTCGTGATTTTTGATGAGAACAATTTATTTTAGTACAATGGAAAATTCATTAATTAAACATACTTTACATCGATTGATCTACCAACTTACGAATTAAGGAAGAAAACATACTACCATTTCAGTGACAGAAACCGGTAATAAAACCAACTTTATTCCAGTCTGACAATAAGGGTAACCACTAAATTACCGGTATATTATACTGGCACGCAGATACTGCAGTTACAGCAATTATGACATAACAATACAATACAATTGATATGGTAATTTTTCGCCACTTCAGTGACTGCGATATAGTCCCAAATTCTCTCTTAAAGAGGTGCTGAGTTTGCCTTACTAATTTATATGCTTCTTGCCAAGTAGCAATTTTTGCACCTCATTTTTGTCTTAATATCCTTGTCATTCTGTGGGTTGATGAAAAATGCAAACGATACCTAATTTTTACTGCTTATCCATATTATGTTCCTTGAAGAAATTGATGAGTATCTGAAAAGCAAATCAAAATTGTATACCCACTTTTGAGACACCCTGTATTACAAAAAAGAAAGAATTTGCAACCGATTAGCCTCCCTGAGTTGCTCTGTCATAATTCAACATCTTTTGTCTGAGTTTTTATTTCAATTTCACATTTCAAGTATCAATCTAGTTATTCTAGTATGAGGATTCAGCAAATGTCTCTACTTAGTTCATATTTAGCAGAGTGAATATACCAGATCAGATATGACACCGTTACACAAAACACTCAATAGGCATGCAAAAAATGTAATACTGGCACGTAAACAGCGCAACTATTTGAAAATTGTACAGTGTGTCATTTTGCTTCCGCCATCCATAATATAGGTATATATGATAACATGTCTGAAAGTGGAATTTGTTTTGTTACACAGACTAACCCGAGCTTCCCATCCTTGAAAGAATTTGCTTTGTATGCTGCTGATTTGAGAAGAAATAATTATGAACCAAGGTTTATCAAGATTCTACTGGTAAGTGTCGTTATTTTTTCGAAAAATATACAAAAACTGAATTTTATTGCCATCTGTGCTGTGGAGATAGTTATAGTCAACAACATATTGAGACAATAAAATTCAAAAACACACATATATATATATACAATGTAACTCACTCAGATGTAAATCACAATGCAACTAAGTTGTCTCGCCAATGATACAATGTTAATAATTGTTAAATTACATGATCCAGGTTTTCGTTGAAAATGTGCGAAATATGTGCTTCTTTTCATACCAAAAGGGAATAGGTTTTAAATTGTCGCTATAAAATATACGAGTTTACAATCATTTATTTTGTAATTGACATATTTCTAATTTCTGTTTAGTCTTTGTGTACAAACAATAAATCAACTGTCATATCCGTCAATTCACCTTGAAAATGGATGACGAATTAAATAAGTGAATAAAATAAATGAGGCAATGGTATAATATTCACATTATCATCTAACCCTAACGTAATCTATCATTTTGTATTCAGAAACAAGCATGGTCGTTGATAAGTAAGTGTCTATCTTTTCATCAAATTCTTCCAAAGCTGCATTATTCTACATATGAGCATGACGTAATACGTGATTTCCGTTTCACGACGGAAAAGAAAGTCGGGCGAAACATTTATTCAAAATTTCTATGTGCTAAAGTGCAGGGACGGGCAGAGTTTTTTGACCATGGGACAAAATTTTTCTACAACTAGACTAACAGGCCGTGCTATTGTGAAGTAAAATGTTATATTTTATGTAATTTTATTCAACGTGCTATAAAAGAAAAAGTGGGATACATAAGCCTCATGGCAAAACTACATTTAATCTGCAAGTTTAACCAATTCCCTGAGCTATTTTTTTTATCTAAAATATCAAAATTTAGTTTTAGTTTGGTGGTGGCAGCATCAGGCGCGTCAAAATGAATTATCCAATGGGCCATACAATTTGGCCCGCGGGCCGTAGTTTGACCATGTCAGTGCTAAACGAAAGTGGTTTGAAATCTAACACCCGACCCGTCATCGATTATAAAAAGGACAAGCACATACTCAATTCTGAAGATGATATAATTATAACAGAATAAATGGAGCATGGATTAAGTTAAAACCAGTCTAAGTTTTGTGTTGTCTTGAAGGAGTGTTACTCTAATACAAAAATATAATGTTATCTATAGGACTTTCAATTTCCGCGAAGCTATGTCGGTACTTATCCCCTCTACACCCACACCCTTTGTTGAATTACTTGAGTTGTAATACACGATATAATTTTTTGAATAATTCAAGCTGTGTTTTAAATCAGCATGTACGTGAAACTTTAACAAGATCATTTTATTCTATCAGACAACCTGCGGAATATCTATCAATACGAAATTAAGTCTTTTTTGATGTTGTGTGATTAGGGTCAGTCCTGTGTGACTCTCATTATGCAGTATATATAACATGGAAATTTTCTTATTTTAGGTGATAATGAAATAAAAAGCTGGTCATCTCAAACTGGAATGCCTATTGTACACCCATCTTAACCTACCAGAACTTGATCGTGTTAAAAACATTGTTGAATATTAAAAATAAAATGAAAGTTTTACTTTAGCTTAATATCATTATTTTTGAAAATTTGCAATAATGTATATTGTTGCAATATTTGTGTTACTAGATAACTTAATTTCGGTTTTCCAAGTATTATTTCGATAAGTATAATACAATTTTTACTACTGTACACATCATGATGAGGATCAATGTAATTGGGGCCTGCACCTTGACGGTCACCAGCTTTCAATGAATTTTTTTATTTTCTTTATCGAGATGCAGTCACTAGAAATGATGGCAATTTGAAGAATTATGATTTTTATTGACAGTTTCAAGCAGAATCTCTTCACTTACAAATGTATTCAATATTTACACATCACACTGCTTTATGGAATTCTTATCTCGACTTTTTAGAACCTTGTTAAATTTACAATGCTTTTTACAAATAAGTACAATTTCCAAATTTGACACTTACAATGTTATTATACAACCAACCAGTTACTTCATGTTGAACTACTTGTTGAAATACTATTTACGTTTTTCCTTCATACAATTTAAGCAGAATATTTTTGCCTGTTTGGAATGTTGCCATATTTCAGTAATTATGCCATAGTTTAGTAATTTAGAACAATAACACAATTTATGTTTTTTTCACTATTATAATTCTGATAGAAGTGATACAAGTACTACTTGATATTCTTAATATGACAATTTTAGTCTGCATACTGTCTTTCAAATGACTTCGTTCCCAAAAGGTTGCATCATTCAAAAGGCAAAGTAAAGTAATACGAATCCAATATTTCTGTGTAATTTACTGCCACTTTTTCCAATATAAGTTTCATGATGCTGTAGTTTTTCAGTTACGGACATTGCCTCAGATTGGTATGATTTTCTCTAGGACATTTGTTGGATTATAAAGATAATTATTCTTAGTTTCATAGGTCAGAGTCAGAGTTATTTTATTTGTCACTTCGAATAAAGAAAACATTCAGCAATTAAGTGTATGTAATAAATACAGTATCAAAATGACAGGTGTTGTGTGGGACGGATTGCTCCGTTATTTAGTCTACAGCACCTTCTGAAAAATAATGAAAATAAAACAAACAAATAAAAAGAGAAGTAACAGTATATCACAATAGAATTAAATAAATGCTCATTGGCGTACACTAGTGGTGACAGTATCAAACCTCTAATATAGCATTATGGGAAATCGACAAGTTCAAACCACGTGATTGACTAAGGAAAACCCGAGTCTTGTGAACGGAACAAACCAAACATCGGGGCGGACTAAAAGTAGGCACTTGCAAATTATTTTCTTTTCCGGCACTTCGGAAAAAATGTGAAATGGGCGTAATAAGTTTTAAAAAGATAATGAATTAGTTGAAAATAGTCAAATTAAATGTTGAACACGCAAAGTGCTACAGGTAAACCCAATAACAATATTTAAAACGTAGTATCAAAGGGAGTCGCACGCGCTCGGTCACCACATATGCTAGGCACATGTTTAGGCACTTCGAAAAAAGAAGAAAATGGGAATTATCACCAATAAAAGTCCGAGAAATAAAAATATTAGTCACACTAATTAGCCTGGGTAAATATCCAATGAATGCACTTGAGTCTAGTACAGGTATTTGAGAATAATAAATTGTTACCGGTAGGCACCTTTTTAGGCACTTCGAAAAAAAGGTGAAATGGGCGTAATAACTTATTAAAATATAATGAAAAAAATAAATATGGTCAAATTGAATGTTGAACGCGCAAAGTGCAACAGGTAAACCCAATAACAACATTCAAAATATAGTATTAAATGGAGTCGCACGCGCTCTGTCACCGCATATGCTAGGCACATAATTAGGCACTTCGAAAAAAGAAGAAAATGGCAATTATCAACCAATGAAATACCAAGAAATAAAAATATTAGTCACACTAATTAGCCTGGGTGAATATCCTATAGATGTATTTGAGTCTAGTAGTGGTATTTAGGAATAATAAATTGTTACCGGTAGGCACTTTTTTAGGCACTTATTTAGGCACTTCGAAAAAAGGTGAAATTGGGCGTAGTAACTTCTAAAAAGATAATAAATTAGTTGAAAATAGTCAAATCAAATGTTGGCTCGCAAAGTGCAACAGGTAAACCTAATAACAATATTTGAAACGTAGTATTGAAGAGAGTCACACGCGCTCTGTCACCACATATGCTATGCGCATATTTAGGCACTTCGAAAATGAAAGAGAAAGATAATTATCACAAATAAAAAAGACAGAAAATAAAAAATTAGTCAAAATGATTATCCTAGGTGAATATCCAATGAATGCACTTGAGTCTAGTAGTGCTATTTGAGAATAATAAATTGTTACCGGTAGGCACTATTTTAGGCACTTATTTAGGCACCTTGGAAAAAAGGTAAGATAGGTGTAATAACTTAACATAATAAACATAACATAATAAATTAGTTAAATTCACTGAATTAGTTAAATGCATTACAAAACTCTATAATATACTGCTATTAACGTATTTAATGAAGTTCAATTATCCGAAGAGGATGAAAAACGATCAGCGTTTTCCAGCAAGAAGGAATTCCTCCTTAGTAAAATTTTGTTGTTTTATAGTAGAAAAAAATTACTTTGTGTTTGCACGTAGTATTAATCACTACTGATTTAATCCATATATATATGGACCAATTTCGAACTATACCAAAATTGTGTATCACTCAATAACGATTCAAGAATGGAAAAAGAGCAGAAAGGGTTGAAAACCACTAAGTTAATTGAAACTCTGTAAAATACAGTTTTATTGCATAAACCTATTGCATACCCAATATGTTCTTAATTCAAAATTATTTTGGCATTGACTGTGGTACCATTTACGGCACCAGCAGCATTTGGCTTGAAGTAACTCACTCACGACCATTGCCAGGTGGTGCTCTCGCAGATTGACCAGTTTATCCATCGAATATACAGAATCAGAATCGATTATTGAATCGCTTGTTTTTCTAAGCATTTAGGCTTAAAAATTATATTTGTTTATTTCCAAATTCAATAATTAATTTGATTGTTTTAAACTGAGTCATTATCTTATTAAAAGTTATTACGCCCATTTTACCTTTTTTCCCCAAAGTGTCTGAAAAATGCCTACCGGTGAACAATTTATTATTCTCAAATACCACTAGTAGACTCAAGTGCATGCATTGGATATTAACTTAGGCTAATCATTGTGACTCATATTATGATTTTCCGTCTTTTTTATTGGTGATAATTCCCATTTTCTATATTTTTCGAAGTGCCTAGTATATGTGGTGATCGGGCACCTGCGCCTCCTTATAATACTACGTGTTAAATATTACCATTGGGGTACTTGGTGCAATTTGCATGTTTAATATTCAATTTGAATATTTTAAACTAATTCATCATCTTTTTAAAGTTATTACGGCCATTTTACCTTTTTTTCCAAAGTGCCTAAAAAAGTGCCTACCGGTAACAATTTATTATTCCTAATTACTACTACTGGACTCAAGGGCATGCATTGGATATTCACCTAGGCTAATCATTGTGACTAATATTTTGATTTTCCGTTTTTTTTATTAGTAATAATTTCCATTTTCTATATTTTTTGAAGTGCCTAAATAAGGGCCTAGCATATGTGGGGATCGAGCGCGTGCGCCTCGTGCGCCTAATACTATGTTTTAAATATTACCAATGAGTTTACTTGTTGCAATTTGCATTTTCAATGTTTAATATTAATATTTTTAACTAAGTTGTAATGTTTTTAAAAGTTATTACGCCCATTTTACCCTTTTTTCAAAGTGCCTAAATAAGTGTCCAAAAAAGTGCCTATTTTCTAAGTGCCTACTTTCAGTCCGTCCCACAAACATCCTCCGAAGCATATGACAACTGAAAAGGCGGGGTAAGTTTTAATACTACGATCAAAATAATTAAAGTTTGTGGAAATAGGGTTCGGTAACAATATTAACAAATTTAATATTATTGGTTTTCAAATCTGTTACCGGTACCGGTACGATATGACTGTTGAACATCATAGCCAAAAACATTGCATATAAGTTATAACGTTAATTAATAGCTGTTTATTGGCTTATTAAGTATGCACGATATTGGGCTTTAAAGAAGCAATACGTCAGGTTTCGAAAGTAGTAGGGTATATTATTCTAAACTTTGACCCCGGTATATATTTAAGGATTGTTGGGTTCGATTCGAAGTATATCATTGAACTTGAAAAGATCCTCTACTGCAAGGCTGCCCAACCTGTCAACAATATCTTTGGTACTAGTCCCGGGACTCGTTGTCCTTTTATGTTCGTATTTTTTTTTATCTAATGTTGAGGCTAAACAAGATTTCGGAAATATCGTCACTGCGTGTCCGTCAATAACTCTGATGAAATTGACTTAATTGCATTGCTGCATATTGGTCACAAATCAGTATATATACGCTATTCGTCCAAAAATCTTTGTAATGTTACTACATTAAATACTTGTATTGGTGTTTCAAATTTTACGAAACGACCCACTTAAACTTGATATTCCCGCGACATTGGCACACATTATGCTCGTTTAAACATTGAGACAGTATCACAGCTACTGACAATGAATGAAAAAAAAACCACTATAACGCGAATATAACACTCAATTTAGACGTGATGTGTGTCTTCTCGTGTGATCGTCAAAAAACCGCAAGTGTCATGTCCATGCCCCGTGTTACCAGATATTCAAATAGTAAACTGCTATTCTAATATTCGACTTGATATTCGAATAATTTGCCAGCCCTACTCAGTAACCAAAAAACAATTATTAAATCGATTGATTTTATGTTAATTAACTTGCCTTTTATGTATTATGTAAAATACTTACACCGAAACCAGGACTTAGCTGGTATTAATGTTTTGCACAAACGTTTGCGGCCCGCAACGAACCTTGTAACGTGAAAGTGGCCCGCGAGATGAAAAAGGTTGGGCAGGCCTGCTTTACTGGCTGATCTGGTGTTGTGGTCATGTACTGATGACTGAGTCGTGAAGTAACCATGAAAAGCTCTAGGCAACATATCATGAGTGAATTGATACATGATTTTGATCTAAAATGTGTGGATATCATCAAATTTAAGGATATTGGATAGTTTATAGAGTTGGTCCAGGTTTGAGGACTGTACGGAATTTGTCAAAAATTGGATTGCTTTGTTTTGTAAAGATTTAATTTTGCGGCTGTGACCCTTCTGGAGTCACGATTCCCAAACTGTTATCCCATATTGGACATATGATTGGAATAGAGGGTACCAGCCTTAGGGTAAACCTAGGTAGAAAATTTTGAAGTTTGCGTAATATTCCTACAGTTCTTGAACGTTTTGCTATAATAAAGTCAATATGTTTGTCCCATCCTAATTTATTGTCTATTGTAATGCCAAAATATTTGTATGAATGGACTAATTCTGGGGAGTTGCTATGCATGGTAACATTGAACAGAGCATCGGTCTCAGTGGTGGTTGGACAAATCAGAATAGATTTTGATTTGCTGGCCATTCAGTTTGCGACCTTATTCAGTTCGATATCAACTTTTTTTTGAGTTGCACTAAAGACTTGGAAGATTTTGAGAGTGCTGTATCGTCAGCGAACAATTTTGTGGAAAGGGAAGAGGCATGGTGAATCATTAACAAAAGTTAAAAATAGCAATGGGGCTAGATTTTGAGATCAAGGAAAATGCAACAAGTGTATTGATGGTTCTCTAGAGCGTCATATAGACTGGTTGTGTAATATAATATAGCATGACTGGTAGAATGGTGACTTTGAAATCCAAATTGAGATTTGTTGATTATATTGTGTTTATCTATAAAACTTAGTAACCGGCTATTTAACAGTCTTTCGAACACGAATGAAATTATTGGGAGAACCGTGATAGGCCTATAATTTTATTTATGCTTTTTGTTTTCAGATTTGAAGACAGTCACTACTCTAGAACATTTTAGAACGTCATGAAAAATGCCAAAGTCGATAAATGCATTGAAAAAGGTTCGTATACCTAGTGTAGCAATATCATATTTGACTTTCAAGAAGAAAGGTGGGATGTTGTCAGGTCCAACAGCTTTCCCAGATTTCAAGTTATTCAGAATATTGCAAGATTATTGGACACGTAGTGGACATAACGATCGTTTCAATATTATGTTGTTGTTCTTGTTCTTGTTTTTTGACACGCTTTTAAAAAGTCGCTTTTCTCTTCGAATACTGGACCAATTGCTTTGAAATTTTCAGTGGTTAAAGATAAAAATTTTCTCCAGAAGGCTATTACTTTTTTTTTCGCTATGACGTCATCAAAATTATGTGACTCTACGTGTCCGTGTATTTGAGCATAGCTCTCTTGTTTCGGAAAGGGAAGGCGGTTCGAGGAAAATTGATTCTTGAGTAGGAATTTTTAAGAAGGTCTCGCAAGGAGTTGCGTTCTGGCAAATGTTCGAAGATAAATTTTGACCTATTGTGGAACGGTACCTTAATTTCAGTAACTCTTTTTAATTGGTCCTTGATCAATATGTTGTTGTCAAGTTCTAATTCATCAATTGTTGTATTACGTTTCTGAGCTTTTGTGTTTACAATTCTTCTAATGGTCTTCCAGGTTGTTTTTACATCATCACGGGTTTGAGTGAAAAGTGTGTTGTAGTACAGCATCTTTGATTTTTCTTTCAATCGAGTTAGAATGTTGTTGTATTTTTCAAAAAATGCAATTTTCTGGCGGTCGCTAATACAAAAATGAGATTTCCGCAAATTCTTTTTTGTCGGACAGATATTAAAATACCTTTAGTGATCCAAGGGTTGGATTTTGTTTTCAGTTCTCTACGTGACATTTTCCGAAATGGAGAATGATTGTCTAAAAGTTGTTTTAACATGTTGATAAAACTTGTAAATAATGCATTCAATTTGTTGTTGGTGATATCTATCGAATTCAAAAAATAGTTGAGCGTTAACTCTGCATCCATTCTAAAGTTAGCTAGAAGGAAATTTCCTGTATCATGAGTATATATAGATTCATGTTCAAAAGTTTTGAATTTAGCTTTTACAAAGCAGATTATAGGATAATGGTCAGTTACATCTGTAGTAACAACGAATGTTGAGGGATTCGGATCGAGCTTGTTAGAGTATATATGGTCGATTAGTGTGCTTGATGAATGAGTCACTCTGGTACAGTAATCAAATGTATAGCTAAGTTTGAGCATAGCATGTTTATATAAAACTTAACTTGTTTATCTTTTACATTCAACAGATTGATGTTGATGTCTCCAGTAGTGTGAAGTAGTGAATTGTAATCTCTAATGTTATGTTATAATCAATATGATGTATTTGTAAACAAGACATCCACCTTCCACCGTGTTGACTTGTGCGTCTAGTTATGCTAACAGGAAAGCAAGGTTTGGTTACTTTCTTACAAATTCTATCGGTGCAAAAGCCATCGAAATAACTTTGCCATTTGCATCTTCATGGCTCTGTGAACACGGGTTTTCTGCTCTGACTGAAATTAAAGGCAAAAAAGTGGAGACTTCCTGGAATTGATGAAATACGGGTGTGCTTGACAACGAAGGAATCTCGTTTCAATCTTATTTGTGCCGCGGAACCTCGATTTTAAATCACTGATTTATATGATATTCAGGACTGTGAAATCGGAGAAAAATTGCAATTGACTCTCACTTCGGATTAAGAAAATTGTATAATATATCGACTCCGACTGCAAATTCGGTCCAATTATTTTCAATCTTTTAATATGTCGTCACGCTAATAACCGAATTGCGTAAGTCATTTTTGGCGATTTTAAGTTTTTTATAAAATAGGTATTTATGTAATGCTGCGCACCTGTCTGTTAACTCAGATTTTATTGTAAGAATTCCGAAACCCATAAAAATGAAGATTTAGTATGACATGCACATTTGTGCAACTGTTTCGTCATAATGAAATATTATTGTTACCGTAGGACTATTGTGCCGTCAGAAAGGCAAAATATCTTGGCGAAGTATTTTCGAGTTTTTGCATCGGATTCTAGCTTAGCGCGTATTAATTTGAATTTATACTACAGTATAGGAAGACAGGCACTTGTGATATTCACTGTCCGAGTCCAATTCCCCTTGGTTGGCTTTTATATTGGGTGCATTGCTGTTTTATTCTTTCAATTTAATCTTAGTCTTATTTCGGTGGGTGTGCAGAACGTCTTATATTGATGAATGAAATATATATTTTTAAACATAAAAAATAATTTAATTGAAACTGATTAGCTTTTTTGGGGATTAGACATTGTAGATACTGAGAATTACATTCGTTTTTGGAATGTTTAGGTTTCAGGACTGGTGCATATGATATAGTAAAGTTGCAAAATTGCGTATGTCCCCAAGTCATAGACACATTTCTGCCTAAGTCACAGTGCGCCATTATGACGTCACTTAACTGCGTCATACAAATTAACTTAAATTCGGCTACAATCAAAAAATTGAACCATGGCAATTTATTGACTTTCAATGGCATAACAATATCATTAGAAAGTTTTTAACGTTTTTCTCAAAACTGCTAAAAATGACTTACGCAATTCGGTTATTAGCGTGACGATGTGTTGTCATCTGAGAAAAAAAGGATGTGTATCTTAACGCTTCCGTCGTGGTGATATATAGGAAGGAATATAAGCATAAGTGTAGCGGATGTAAACCTATTCTGAGCATTGGAACTTAAACTTAATGTGCATATAAGTAGGCCATAGTATTATCTCTCAATTTTTGTTTTATTTATCATCAATGTCAGTTAGTACTTCTCTGTGAACAAAGGCTCGCGGAATTTTGTGTTTTATGTAAATAGATCAGAATTCATTTTTATTGCCGGAGATTTTCATAACCGGGGAAAACAAAATGGTAAGTTCTGTGTTATATTATAATGAATTCACAAATTGTCTTTATACGGGGTTGCAGGTTTATGGTAAAGAAATCGACACTTATTTATTCAATAATTTATTCAATTATCTTTTTATAAGATTTTAATATATAGGACGTTTCAAAATAAATGAAACCAACAAAATTAGTAATCGAATTAATGGGTTTCATTTATTTTGGAACTCCCTGTATTAGGTAGTAAACTCGAACGATTTAGTTCGTATCTTATTAGATCTCCGTCTGTTGTAAATATTTAATTGTGGAGTTTCCAAACAATGTATAAGGTCCAAACTGTATTATATTGGACCATTCACAAAATTAATTGATTTATTTATATAGTATGACCGACATTATCCACATTTTTTCTTTTTAATGGTGTCTACCTCGTACCGGATCATGCATTTTAGATGCACTGAGCACTTGAACTTTAGTTGGTGCCCTATATCTAAAACTATTGAAAATGAAACTGTTGTTCTATGTTAATGAAATTGAATATGTAAGTTTTTCTGTAATCATTTTTAATTGAAGGCTAAGCTAAATATAGTTTTTTTCGTGATTTTTGATGAGAACAATTTATTTTAGTACAATGGAAAATTTATTAATTAAACATACTTTTTACATCGATTGATCTACCAACTTACGAATTAAGGAAGAAATACTACCATTTCAGTGACAGAAATCGGTAATAAAACCAACTTTATTCCAGTCTGACCATAAGGGCAACCACTAAATTACCGGTATATTATACTGGCACGCAGTTACTGCAGTTACAGCGATTATGGCATAACAATACAATACAATTGATATGGTAATTTTTCGCCACTTCAGTGACTGCGGTATAGTCCCAAATTCTCTCTTAAAGAGGTGCTGAGTTTGCCTTACTAATTTATATGCTTCTTGCCAAGTAGCAATTTTTGCACCTCATTTTTGTCTTAACATCCTTGTCATTCTGTGGGTTGATGAAAAATGCAAACGATACCTAATTTTTACTGCTTATCCATATTATGTTCCTTGAAGAAATTGATGAGTATCTGAAAAGCAAATCAAAATTGTATACCCACTTTTGAGACACCCTGTATTACAAAAAAGAAAGAATTTGCAACCGATTAGAGTTGCTCTGTCATAATTCAACATCTTTTGTCTGACTTTTTATTTCAATTTCACATTTCAAGTATCAATCTAGTTATTCTAGTATGAGGATTCAGCAAATGTCTCTACTTAGTTCATATTTAGCAGAGTGAATATACCAGATCAGATATGACACCGTTACACAAAACACTCAATAGGCATGCAAAAAATGTAATACTGGCACGTAAACAGCGCAACTATTTGAAAATTGTACAGTGTGTCATTTTGCTTCCGCCATCCATAATATGGGTATATATGATATAACATGTCTGAAAGTGGAATTTGTTTTGTTACACAGACTAACCCGATCTTCCCATCCTTGAAAGAATTTGCTTTGTATGCTGCTGATTTGAGAAGAAATAATTATGAACCAAGGTTTATCAAGATTCTACTGGTAAGTGTCGTTATTTTTTCGAAAAATATACAAAAACTGAATTTTATTGCCATCTGTGCTGTGGAGATAGTTATAGTCAACAACATATTGAGAAAATAAAATTCAAAAACACACATATATATATATATACAATGTAACTCAGATGTAAATCACAATGCATCTAAGTTGTCTCGCCAATTATACAAAGTTAATAATTGTTAAATTACATGATCCAGGTTTTTCGCTGAAAATGTGCGAAATATGTGCTTCTTTTCATACCAAAAGGGAATAGGTTTTAAATTGTCGCTATAAAATATACGAGTTTACAATCATTTATTTTGTAATTGACATATTTCTATTTTCTGTTTAGTCTTTGTGTACAAACAATAAATCAACTGTCATATCCGTCAATTCACTTTGAAAATGGATGACGAATTAAATAAGTGAATAAAATAAATGAGGCAAGGTTATAATATTCACATTATCATCTAACCCTAACGTAATCTATCATTTTGTATTCAGAAACAAGCATGGTCGTTGATAAGTAAGTGTCTATCTTTTCATCAAATTCTTCCAAAGCTGCATTATTCTACATATGAGCATGACGTAATACGTGGCCCGCGGGCCGTAGTTTGACCATGTCAGTGCTAAACGAAAGTGGTTTGAAATCTAACACCCGACCCGTCATCGATTATAAAAAGGACAAGCACATACTCAATTCTGAAGATGATATAATTATAACAGAATAAATGGGGCATGGATTAAGTTAAAACCAGTCTAAGTTTTGTGTTGTCTCGAAGAAGTGTTACTCTAATACAAAAATATAATGTTATCTATAGGACTTTCAATTTCCGCGAAGCTATGTCGGTACTTATCCCCTCTACACCCACACCCTTTGTTGAATTACTTGAGTTGTAATACACGATATAATTTTTTGAATAATTCAAGCTGTGTTTTGAATCAGCATGTACGTGAAACTTTAACAAGATCATTTTATTCTATCAGACAACCTGCGGAATATCTATCATTACGAAATTAAGTCTTTTTTGATGTTGTGTGATTAGGTCTCAGTCCTGTGTGACTCTCATTATGCAGTATATATAACATAGAAATTTTCTTATTTTAGGTGATAATGAAATAAAAAGCTGGTCATCTCAAACTGGAATGCCTATTGTACACCCATCTTAACCTACCAGAACTTGATCGTGTTAAAAACATTGTTGATTAATCAAAAAATCAAATGAAAGTTTTACTTTAGCTTAATATCATTATTTTTGAAAATTTGCAATAATGTATATTGTTGCAATATTTGTGTTACTAGATAACTTAATTTCGGTTTTCCAAGTATTATTTCGATAAGTATAATACAATTTTTACTACTGTACACATCATGATGAGGATCAATAAAATTGGGGCCTGCACCTTGACGGTCACCAGCTTTCCATGAATTTTTTTATTTTTTTTTATCGAGATGCAGCCACTAGAAATGATGGCAATTTGAGGAATTATGATTTTTATTGACAGTTTCAAGCAGAATCTCTTCACTTACAAATGTATTCAATATTTACACATCACACTGCTTTATGGAATTCTTATCTCGATAGACCGGTTCGCAACTAGCTGAATGAATGAATTGCTATGAATTGCCATCAAATCTCTTTTCATATTTTAACTGATGGATGATGAAAAAAATTTAATGAAACTTTTACTTTGGCATAACACCTTTCTTTGAAAGATTTTATTAAATCGGGATGTATACAAGCTGTAAACAAATTTTTAAAAACCATTTTATGATATAGCTTAGAATGAATTTCTTATTCCTTTTATGCATTTTCTCTGACGTTGGAACATTGGTCCTATGACTTCTAATTCTTACAGATGTCTTCCTACTTTATTCTTATTTTCCAACTTTTGCCTCAGCAAATGGTAAGACTTTTTATTGGAGACTTTTTAGAACCTTGTTAAATTTACAATGCTTTTTACAAATAAGTACAATTTCCAAATTTCATGATTTTTTGAAACGTTGTTGTGAATCCAGTCCACAGAAAATCTCAAATATTTAGGTATAGACTGAAGACTTGATTTGCAAATAAAAATGACACTCACTATGTTATTATACAACTAACCAGTTACTTCATGTTGAACTACTTGTGGAAATACTATTTACGTTTTTCCTTTATACAATTTGAGCAGAATATTCTTGCCTGTTTGGAATGTTGCCATATTTTAGTAATTATGCCATAGTTTAGTAATTTAGAACAATAACACAATTTATGTTTTTTTCACTATTATAATTCTGATAGAAGTGATACAAGTACTACTTGATATTCTTAATATGACAATTTTAGTCTGCATACTTTGTCTTTCAAATGACTTCGTTCCCAAAAGGTTGCATCATTCAAAAGGCAAAGTAAAGTAATACGACTCCAACATTTCTGTGTAATTTACTGTCACTTGTTCCAATATAAGTTTCATGACGCTGCAGTTTTTCAATTACGGACATTGCCTCAGATTGTTATGATTTTCTTTAGGACATTTGTTGGATTATAAAGATAATTATTCTTAGTTTCATAAGTCAGAGTCAGAGTTATTTTATTTGTCACTTCGAATAAAGAAAATATTCAGCAATTAAGTGTATGTAATAAATACAGTATCAAAATGACAGGTGTGGTGAGGGACGGATTGCTCCGTTATCTAGTCTACAGCACCTTCTGAAATATAATGAAAACAAACAAATAAAAAGAGAAGTAACAGTATATCACAATAGAATTAAATAAATGCTCATTGGCGTACACTAGTGGTGACAGTATCAAACCTCTAATATAGCATTATGGAAAATCGACAAGTTCAAACCACGTGATTGACTAAGGAAAACCCGAGTCTTGTGAACGGAACAAAACAAACATCGGGGCGGACTAAAAGTAGGTACTTGCAAATTAGGTACTTTTTCCGGCACTTCGGAAAAAATGTGAAATGGGCGCAATAAGTTTTAAAAAGATAATGAATTAGTTGAAAATAGTCAAATTAAATGTTGAACACGCAAAGTGCTACAGGTAAACCCAATAACAATATTCAAAATATAGTATTAAATGGAGTCGCACGCGCATGCTAGGCACATAATTAGGCACTTCGAAAAAAGAAGAAAATGGCAATTATTAACCAATAAAATACCAAGAAATAAAAATATTAGTCACACTAATTAGTCTGGGTGAATATCCAATAGATGTATTTGAGTCTAGTAGTGGTATTTAAGAATAATAAATTGTTACCGGTAGGCACTTTTTTAGGCACTTCGAAAAAAAGGTGAAATTGGGCGTAGTAACTTCTAAAAAGATAATAAATTAGTTGAAAATAGTCAAATTAAATGTTGACTCGCAAAGTGCAACAGCTAATAACAACATTTGAAACGTAGTATTGAAGAGAGTCACACGCGCTCTGTCACCACATATGCTATGCGCATATTTAGGCACTTCGAAAATGAAAGAGAAAGGTAATTATCATTAATAAAAAAAACAAAAAATAAAAAATTAGTCAAAATAATTATCCTAGGTGAATATCCAATGAATGCACTTGAGTCTAGTAGTGCTATATGAGAATAATAAATTGTTACCGGTAGGCACTATTTTAGGCACTTATTTAGGCACCTTGGAAAATAAGGTAAAATAGGTGTAATAACTTAACATAATAAACATAACATAATAAAGTAGTTAAATTCACTGAATTAGTTAAATGCATTACAAAACTCTATAAGATACTACTATTAACGTATTTAATGAAGTTCAATTATCCGAAGAGGATGAAAAACGATCAGCGTTTTCCAGCAAGAAGGAATTCCTCCTTAGTAAAAAATTTTTTTGTTTTATAGTAGAAAAAAATTACTTTGTGTTTGCACGTAGTATTAATATTATCGTTTAGTCACTACTGATTTAATCCATATATATATGGACCAATTTCGAACTATACTAAAATTGTGTATCACTCAATAACGATTCAAGAATGGAAAAAGAGCAGAAAAGGTTGAAAACCACTAAGTTAATTGAAACTCTGTAAAATACAGTTTTATTGCATAAACCTATTGCAAACCCAATATGTTTTTAATTCAAAATTATTTTGGCATCGATTGTGGTACCATTTACGGCACCAGCAGCATTTGGCTTGAAGTAACTCACTCACGACCATTGCCAGGACAGGTGGTGCTCTCGCAGATTGACCAGTTTATCCATCGAATATACAGAATCAGAATCGATTATTGAATCGCTTGTTTTTCCAAGCATTTAGGCTTAAGAATTATATTTGTTTATTTCCAACTTCAATTATTTATTCGATTATTTTAAACTGAGTCATTATCTTATTAAAAGTTATTACGCCCATTTTACCTTTTTTCCCCAAAGTACCTAAAAATGGCTACCGGTAAACAATTTATTATTCTCAAATACCACTAATAGACTCAAGTGCATGCATTGGATATTCACTTAGGCTACTCATTGTGACTCATATTATGATTTCCCGTCTTTTTTATTGGTGATAATTCCCATTTTCTATATTTTTCGAAGTGCCTAGTATATGTGGTGATAGGGCACCTGCGCCTCCTTATAATACTACGTGTTAAATATTACCATTGGGGTACTTGGGGCAATTTGCATGTTTAATATTCAATTTGAATATTTTAAACTGATTCATCATTTTTTTAAAGTTATTACGGCCATTTTACCTTTTTTTCCAAAGTGCCTAAAAAAGTGCCTACCGGTAACAATTTATTATTCTTAATTACTACTACTAGACTCAAGGGCATGCATTGGATATTCACCTAGGCTAATCATTGTGACTAATATTTTGATTTTCCTTTTTTTTTTTATTAGTAATAATTTCCATTTTCTATATTTTTTGAAGTGCCTAAATAAGAGCCTAGCATATGTGGGGATCGAGCGCGTGCGCCTCCTTATAATACTACGTTTTAAATATTACCAATGAGTTTACTTGTTCCAATTTGCATTTTCAATATTTAATATTAATATTTTTAACTAATTTGTTATGTTTTCAAAAGTTATTACGCCCATTTTACCCTTTTTTCAAAGTGCCTAAATAAGTGAAAACGATTATTGAGATTATTGAGGACGAACGCTGAGCACAAGTATAGGAATGAATTTAGAACTTAAATTTGCAAATGAATTTCATTTTGATTGTTTCTTTCGTGTCTGCTTTGCTCGTCTTTATCGCCAACGTAAAATAAAAGTCAACAATGTCTTTGGTACTAGTCCCGGGACTCGTTGTCCTTTTATGTTCGTATTTTTTTATCTAATGTTGGGGCTAAACAAGATTTCGGAAATGTCGTTTGATTATTTGAAACAAAACTGGAAAAAAAGGAAAAAGATTTATACCTTGACGATGTAATCCCTTATAACTACTCTCATACCCGTCATGGACTGCTAACTGCTTCACGGTCATCTGAGTCAGTTCCCACTCAATACAAACACATGAATAAATAAATAAATAAATAAATAAATAGATAGACACAGGTTATGTTTGATTCCAGCACTCTTGGTTTATTAAAAGCTATTTACACTATGTACAAAAAACGTGATTTGATTGGGAAGAAGACGAATTTCGGAGTAATCTAATCAGGACAGGGGATTTTATTAAACGAATTTCTAATTCCTAAAGCAAATATTCCAATAATTAAGAATTTAATACCCTTTATTAATTTATAAGTACAGTATATGAGTCAAAACATTTAATCTATTTTCTGTTACCTTCTTCTATATACAAGTTAAAAAAAAAGGATAAGTTTAAAAAAAAATAGCAAGGAAATTAAACGTTCCACAACAAATAATAATGTGTGGTGTTAAGAAAGCCACAGATTGACATATTAAATATAGGCATAATAGTTTTTGGAATTTTTCTATTTTCAAATAATTACATTGAAGAGAAAAGAAGAGTGCGAATGGTGATTCTCCAAGACATGCACATAACTCAGATCATGAGCGCACAGAAAAACATTGGAATGGAAATCAATCTGCATGGCATTGCAACCCTTCACAAATATTTCAGAAATAGGCATATTATATATGAGTTAAAACTGATATGAGATATTCAGTAAATTTTGGCAATGCTGGAACAAAATAAATGACAATAATCCTGTATATTTAAAATATATTTATTGTCAAGCAATAATTTACTTAAGCATGTGGAGTTTCTT